AGTGCTGGCCGCCCCAAGATCAGGTTGTGGGCGCACTGGAGGTTGACCACAATGAACTCCATGTCAATTTTGGCGCGGTGGGGGCCATCGTCGACCTCCACGGGGAGGACTATCGTGCCCTCGGCGTCGATAGAGTCCCCGGTGAAGCCGGACAACGGTGTCTTGATCGGCTTCAGCAGAGCTTTGTCCAGCTTCAGCTGCCTGAAGGTGTCCAGGTACATCACGCTGATGGAGCTCTCCGTATCGATGTAAGTGCGGTGGATGATGGAGTCACCGATCTCACACCGGATGACGAGGGCGTCCCTGTGTGATTCTGTACGCGGAGGCAGATCTTTGTCGGTGAAGGTGATGAGGTGAATACGGTTCTTCTTTGGCGGAGGCTCTTCAAAGTCCTCGTCGTCGCTGAGCCTACCGATCTCCCGCTTCTTCGTAGAGGGTTCGCCCCCAGGTTTCCCGGTGTTTACCCACGTATTTTTGCGTGGGCCACCTTTAACAAATTGGGAGAGTTCCCCCTGACGAATAAGGCGCTCGATGGCTTTCTTCAGCGTGATGCAGTCGTCGGTGTTGTGTGAGGAGTTCTTGTGAAATCGGCAGTATGTGCCGCCTTGCTGGATGGCAAGGACCTCTTCAGCCGACCGAGGAGCTTGCTCAATGAGGCCATGCTTCTCGGCGTAGTCGAGGATGGTGCTGACCGGGTGGGTGAGGGGGACCCCCGGCCGTTCCAACCTTGGCCACCAGTGGCGGTCTTTCTTACTTTGTCCACCAGAGCCGTGACGGCCCTGGGCACCCTGGCCGGCCGGGGATGGTCCCGGGGCCGGCGAAGGATTTGTCTTCTTGGGGGTATGGCCTCCCTCTTTCTTGTGGTTGTGGAGCTCGTCGGCGTCAGCGTACAAGCTCCCGCGCTGGAGCGCCTTTGCGTACGACCTTGGAGGGTCGGTGATGAGGCTCCTGGTGTACAAGGAGCTGCGGAGGGCTCCCTGGTACAGGACGAGGAGGGTGCGCTCATCGGCCCCCTCGACTTCTTCGGTCTCCCTCGTCCACCGATCAATGAATGACCGGAGGGGTTCGTCATGTTGCTGCTTGATGGAGATGAGATGGGTGAAATACTTCTTCGCACGCTTCCTCCCGGCAAAATGGGTGAGGAAGCGCTGGGCAAGGTCTTGCCATGAGTCAATACTTCCTTCGGGAAGCGCGTTGAACCACTCGTACGACGGCCCCTCAAGAGTAGAGAGGAACCAACGGCAGAGATATTCATCCGACGTGTTCACCATCAACATGTTGTTCTGATAGAGACTGAAGTGCTCCTGGGGGTCTGATCGGCCATCGTATGACTTGATGGCGTTCCCCTTGTACTTCTCCGGGATGGGGGCCGAGAGCACCCTGTTGGTGAAAGGGGTCCTGGTCCTGACCTGGATGACGGGGTCACCTCGCCCTTCGGCCAGCTCCCTCTCAAGGGCGCTGACCTTTTTCATGAGAGCGTTGAGGCCAGGGTCGTTGGAGGCGGCGGCCGTGGAGATGTTCACCGATTGCCTGGCCTCCATCTGGGCCAACCTTCTTTCCAGCTGGGCGATGACCTCGTCCCGGGGGTCCCTGGCGGCCGCAGCGGCGTCCTGCTGGTTCTTCATGCGCTCGTCGTGGGCCGCATTGATCTGGTGGCGCACGTCGTCCTCGTGCAACTTTCCCTTGCCCTTGTCCAGGCGGGGCTGGTCCGTTGTCCGGGACATAGACCTTAAGCTTTCCCTTGGCGAGCCAGGCCGACGCTCACCAATCCGCCCTGCCATCCTCTCCGAAACCGGACGACGGCGCGTGTCACCTAGCCTATTGAAGGCAGAGGCTTTTCCACGCGCTGGGGTCTGCCCAGGCCAAAGAGGGGAAACGGGGTGGGAGTGCGACGACGCCGTGTCCTAGGCCATCACCCCCTCATCGTTGCCTAACCTGACGGCCAACAGTTGGGGCTGAGGAGGTGGAGTGACGTTCCCCCAGTCCTTGGCAGGAGTGCGCTGAGGACGGTGGGGTTCTGGGCCAAGCTGGCGATGATGACCGACAGCGCGGCCTGGACCTGTGGATCCACAGACGGAGAAGTCGCGGCCATAGGCTGGGCCGGGGCGTGGTCTGTCTTCTCAGCTCGTTTCTTGTCCAGGCTGATGCGGGCATCAGGGGCTCCACCGTTGAGTTGGTTGCGGAGGTCTGTCGTGAGGTTGATGGCCTCCTGGAAGACGTCCCCTCCGCCGACCTGGTCGGCCGTAGCGTCCTCCTCATGCTCCTTGGTCTCCTGCTCCTCAGGGATGGCCTTGCTGACGAGGTTGCGGTTTGACTTAGTTCTTCCCATGGTCAGTGGTTAGCTGTGCTTGGTAGCGACGAAGGGTGCTAACTTGATTGTTCTAGCTCTCAACGAGAGCACCAAATGATAGAGTATATCTAGAGAGAAGTGAGAGCTAGAAAGAGAAGTGCAAGTAATGCTTCAATAGAAATGATTTGTAACCCCTATAACTACCTCCAGAGGAAGTATTTATAGGAAAAATACGGGCTGGGCTCCCAAGCCTTGGGCTTGGGAGGCCCATTTACAACTGGACCGCTATTGGGCCGAATACAGAGCCACTGGTGGGCTATATAAATGAATAAGTGTAAAATCCGGTTCTGTGAGACTTCCGTGGCCGACGAGGGTCTTGGCCGACGAGGGCACGGCCGATGAGGACACCCTGGATCCCTGGCTTCAGGATCATATTCTGAATTGGTCCTTCGTCGGCCGACGAGGGTCTTGGCCGACGAGGGCACCGCGTGGTGGCTGTGCTTTCTGTTCTTCTGAGTATGTGGGTCTTGGGGCCTAGACCCATATACTCCATCACTTCCTAATAGTATTTTTTAAACAATCATTATAAAATATAGAAATTGCCCAATATAGGAGTAAATATAAACATAATTGCACAAATAGGAGTAAAACTTAAAACTTCCTTCAATATGAGTAAACATTAATTTTGTACCCTTAATATCTCTAACCTAGTTAATTCTAAAATATGAATTATTTAATCATAACCTAGTTGATTTATGACTTATTCGATAATAATAATTTATTTATTTATTTATTTATTTATTTTTTTAAAAATAATTTTTTTTTAAAAATAAAAAACTCAAAAAAATAAAATAAAATTCACCGCCGCCTCAGCCCCACCACCTCCAGTCACCAGGGAAAAAATGCCAAGTTCATTACGAATGCCATATTTATGGTAGAAAACAATGAAAATGTTGGCATTCGCAAAGAGAAATATGCCATGTTTTTGGCATTTTCAGAAAAAAGGCAGTTTTTAGGAAAAATGGAATTTTTTTTCACCGACCGGAGGTGATGGTGCAGGGAGGTAGTATAGGCGGTGGGAAAGACATCCATATTTTTTTAATTTTTTTATGGAGTTTTACTATTTATTATTATTTTTTTTAAAAAAGAAAAAAATTTAAAAAAATATTTGTTTATTTTTTTTATTTTATTAATATTTTATAAATTTTTTAATTATTTTTCTACGATTTTTTGAATTTTTTTCGAATTTATTATGAATTAAACATTTAATTAAAAGTTGTTGGGGCTTGGGTAGGGGTATACTTGTCCAAACACTAAAGTTTTTGCATTTTCCCTATGTTTTGCTCCTATTTGGGGAATTCTCTCTATAAAATATAAAAAATAAAATAAAAAAATAAAAGTCTTAAAAAATAAATAAAAAATATACAGACCTCAATCACCACCTTAGCTACCTTCCAGCATCGCCACCTCCGATCGCCGAAAAAGATTGTCAAGCTGGGACAAAAATGTCATCATGATGACAATTTTGAACAGAAAGCTAGATATTTTCAAAGAGTAAAAATGACATCTTCACGACATTTTCAGAGAAATGTGGCATATTTTACACAAGATGACACTTTTCCCCGACGATCAGAGCAAGTGGTGCTGGGAGGTAGAGGACGCGTTGGCAGTGACATACATATTTTTTAAATATTTTTTAGGTATTTTATTTTATTTTTAAACTTTTTAAATTTTTTGAAATATTTTATTTGTTTTTTTTTATATTTTTTATTTTATTTTTTCATGTTTTTATTATTAATAATAAATATTTTTTCACATTTTTATTAATAATTTATAAATATTTTATTATTTTTTATAATTTTATTATAAATAAAAGTATAATTTTTTTATTAATAAAATAAATCTATTGGAAATTATTGAAAATTATTTGAAGGGGTAGAATAGAAAAAAATGACATACATTAATCCATGAGAATTAGAGGAGAGCAAACCCGACCCTACCCGATTGACCCGATCGGATATTTCCGATTTTTTTTGTTGGGGTTGGAAAACCCGACCCGAAATACCCAAATCCGATCCGATTCTTGCAACCGAGACTTAAGCGGGTAACGGGTAGGGACGTAGGGTTTCCAATTATGCTACCCGACCTGTCCGAAAAACCGAACTAGCGTAGTATATATACTACTTTGAATTATTGATTTATTATGCATGTTCAAATATCTCAATTATTGTATGCCAATTACCATATTATGCATGTTCAAATATTCCAATTACCTTATTTGTACATCTATAACTTTGAATGTTGTATTATTATGGCTTTGAATGATATTTTGACCAATTATCATTTTATTTATCACAATATCGAACATGTCAATCACCGTATATTATTATTTTACATGTTCAAATATGTCGATTACCGTATTTATACAACTATTACTTTGAATGTTATATTAGTATAATTTTGAATGATATTTTTACCAATTACCGTTTTATTTATCATAATTTCAAAAATAGTAAATTAAAATCCGAATGCACCCGATAACAGTATCAACCCGACCGCAACCTGAATATCTTCAACCCAAAAAACTCGATATATTTTTTGATAGGATAAGATTTGAAATTATCGATCCGATATCCGAACGGATTTACGGAGTACCATTTTTGAACCCGACCCGCCTGAACGTGAACCGTGCTCTGTCCTACCGAGAATGAAAGGATCGTAGTCGGATCGTACAAACCCTTTTTTTAACCCTTTTCTCTTCCCAGCTCTGTACGATTAGTCTACCGTCCTCCAGCTCCTACTCCATGCCATTCCCACCTCCATTGTCGCCGTCTTCGTCGTCCCACGCGGAAATCGCAGGTACGTTAACGGCGTCACCTTCTGTTTTCTTCTTACTCTTCTTCTCATTCTCTCGGAACATTTCCAGACCTGGAAACGGCGGCGACCTGGTGATGGAGGCGACCTGGTAATGGGTTGGAAGAACTAATGACGCTCTGGATACTAACAGTACAAAAATAATACGTGATAATAATATGTAGTAGTTTTTTTTTGCTTCTTCATAGCCTCATCTTCTCGGCTGGTCACTCCAATTTTTTGTTTTTTCTTTGTTTGGAGTAAGGAAGAGAAAGCATCTTCTTTTTTAAATATGGATCCCAAATTCGACGATGGGCGTTCTTCAATTACAGTCAATCTCTCGAATGGCCATGAAAAACACCATGCTGCTGCTGTTTTTCAACTGCAGGTTTCTGAAAAAAAACGTCTTTTTCCAAGACTTGTTTCAATGGCATCAATGCATTATCAGGTATTCAGGTACTCTCATTAATCATTATTATGATTATTATTATTCCCTTCTATTCATTTCCTCCCCTGCATTATCAAACCCATCCGCCTCTTCCCTCCAGCTAGGTTTAACTGTTTGATTTTATCTGTTGGGAATCAATTTATTTCACAGAAAACTAAGTATCCCAATTGCAAACCAATAACAAGTACTCCTAGTAATGAAGAATTTTAAACATGGAAAACCCAAATCAGGTAAAAAATCATGGGACCAAGCTAGTCACTCTTTCACTATATCACCAATAGCAGGATGCACTTCTTTTCATCAAAAGAATATCTCTGGGATCAATTACAAAGCTTCGAGAGTACACACCTCAGAAAAACCAGAAGCTGTTACAATTTTTGCGGTTCACAAACCAAATTTGAAATGACGCTTGCAGACCTCAGATTACAAAGCAAACCTGATAGAATCTAGCCCCTTAAGTTACGAAGCTGTTGCGAGAGTTTTTCCCCAATCGGAGTTCGTTTGACATGCCAATTGAGGCTTTCCCACCTGGTGGTATGGCAGAAAACAGAACTACAACTCCTTGTTGTTTCCTTCTGTCTTACTGCAGAAAACCGCCCCATCTCCTCTGTGTTACTGTTGTACCAAAGGTAATATCTGAACACTGCCTTGTTAAGAAGAACCTATAGACCAACTAAGTTTTTCAATCAGTTGCAGGTCCTTTTCAATCAGTTGTAGTCACCCATCTCCTCTGTGTCCTTTGCTTTTCTCTGCTGAACAAACTACAAAGAAGCTAAACCCATCGGGCTTTAAAGCCCAGATCACAGCCTAAAAACCGAGCCCAATTCATCCTCCAAAATGGAGGAATAAACCCAACATTATCTTCCTGCCCCTTTTTTTCTTTTCTGGTATTAAAATTTAGTAGTATTGTTGCTGAGTAAATTATTACATATGACTGACTGTGTGGTTGAGATTTATTTAGTATAGAGAGAAATGATATGAAGCATTTATTGTCTTCCTTAAATGGACATGGTGTTAATTTGTGAGTGAATAGAGAAAGTGGTAACTACTAACTAGTAAGATATTTAGATTTAAGGGCAAGGTTGTCAAAGGCGTAAGGCGCACCTGAAGCGCTAGGAGTCTTCCAGCGCTTGAGGCGCAAAGCCCAAAAAAGCGCTCGCCTGACTCGGGTGAAGCGCATTACTTATATAAAGTCACATATACTATTCTATAAATACCAAATATGATGTATGTAACATCATATTGAACCAAATGCATCAAAAAAGCTAGGATTCACCAAAATAAAGTCATGATTCACAAAAACAGAAGTCTAAATTTAGAGATCATGGCTTTAATACTAAAAGTAAAACTACAATACCTTTTCTTTTTAGGGGTGGTTAATGCCCCCCCCCCTATGCTCCAAGAGTTACGTGGCACACTTATCATGCTGCACGCCTGCAAGAGTTAGGTGGTACACTTGTCACCATTTTATATGCCACCGGTGAACAGTGTAACCCAACATTTTCTTTGGTCCAGTGGTGTAGCCATGGAGGGACTTTAGCCTCAGTCTCCCAATTATATTCAAGTGTATATAAAAAAGGGCAGTCTGATTTACGAAGGCATCCCCGCAAGGAGAGGGTCTTGGGAAGGGTCCCACCACAAGGGTGTATAAGGGGAAAGCCTTCCCTTGTCAAATTTTTGACAAGAGGTCGCTCCCAAGATATATTCACGTGTATATATCTAATATATATATATATATATATATATATGTGTGTGTGTGTGTGTGTGTGTATACAAATATTTACAATTTATAAAAAGAATATGAATATGTTGAAATATGAAATTTTGACCCTAGCAATAAAGTTCCAAGCTCAGCCATCCTTATACTAAAATTGTGAAGGATTATTTGTCATTCAAAGAGGAGTCGGTTTCTTCTTCATTATCTTATTTATATTCTCCAACATCCTCTTCAGTTTCTTCATCATTTTCCTCATCCACAAGCCTACGAGTAGTAGTTCATCTCAGACTTTTGCAATGCCTTCTAGTATATCTTATCGGGTTTTCTGCTCCTGATGCCCTACTCACAATAGCTCATGTCAAGCCATTACCTCTTCACTAAAAACCAAGTCATTTTTTGCACTTTTATTGGTGTTCCCATCAAACTACTCATTGCAATAATCGATATTATCTAAAGCAATCGGTTCTGTGATATGTTTGGAGTCAAAACAAGCTTTCAATGTTGTATTATACTTCACAAAAACTAAATCATTTAGCTTCTGCATTTTTAGCGTGTTCCTTCTCTTTGTGCGAGTCTAGAACATAAAGAAATATTTTTTTTAGTGTTTCATACTTGATTCTTAGAAGTTGCAAGTTCAAAACTTGCATGTTCACACACCCCTCCAATTGCGTTTGCAACCTCAAGCACTACTAGGTTAAGAACTCTCATTGTCGGTTTTTGTAAGCTGAGAGTTATGCTTCCATACAACTGCATTTATCACATGAAAAAAATAAAAAAGAATTGATTGAAATATATATATGGCTTTAAATGGTTGATGCAGTCATTATACAACATCATAGAGCATGTATGTGGCATTAAGTGGGTGCTGCACTCATATTTACCAAAAAGAGCTTCAGTCGTTATATATTTCCACAACTCATCAATGATTAGAAGTTGCCCGCTTCTAATGACTCTTAATGAGTATAGCAACATATTGGAACTACACTCTAGAACTAGGTATATGTACGAGAAAGAAAATATCAAGAGCACATATATTTAATTATTTTTGCATATAAATTAGGCTTTATATAGCCAGTTTACATGGGATAATGACCACACAAACTTTCTAAACTATAGCCATATTCAAACGTGTATAACCACCTAAGCAACTAAGCATTAATATTGCCTAAACAGTAGCTAACAGTACTTAGACTTATTCAAATGATAACAAATAATTAATTAATGAGTAAATGAACCAAATAATTAATAACTAAATTTAAGATTATTCCAACAATCACCCCCATAATCTTAAATTTACGAAGCGCTTCTCTTCATTTGTGATGCACTTCTCACCACCACCAAATTTTGATGCACGTCTCATCAAAATAAACATTTTGGAGCACTTCTCCCCATGGTGCACATAATCACCCATAATTCTAAAAGAGAGGTTCCGCCTCGACCAATTGTGCCAAGACTTCTTCATCAGTTTGGAATCTACAATTCTTTGCCAGATGCCCATACATTTTGCATTTGAAGCATTGTGACTTTCCTTTGTGCCAACAATCCTTTTCTTCATGACCAATCTTATGATAATGGTTGCATTGAATTTTATTGCTGTGCCTTTTGAGAATGAGGATTTAGCTAACAGGAGTCCCTCATGTTTTCCTCCATTTTCTTCCTCCCTCATTGAATTAATCAATTCTCTCCATGCCGTTGACCAAAAGAGATCAATGAGGGAGGAAGAAAATGGAGGAAACACGAGGGACTCCTGTTAGCTAAATCCTCATTCTCAAAAGGCATAGGCAATAAAATTCAATGCAACCATTGTCATAAGATGGTCATGAAGAAAAGGATTGTTGGCACAAAAGAAAGCCACAATGCTTCAAATGCAAAAGGTATGGACATCTGGCAAAGAATTGTAGATTTCAAACTGATGAAGAAGTCTTGGCACAATTGGTCGAGGCAGAACCTCTCCTGTAGAATTATGGGTGATTATGTGCACCATGGGGAGAAGTGCTCCAAAGTATTTATTTTGATGAGACGTGCATCAAAATTTGGTGGTGGTGAGAAGTTCATCACAGATGAAGAAAAGTGCTTCGTAAATTTAAGATTATGGGGGTGATTGTTGGAACAATCTTAAATTTAGTTATTAATTACTTGGTTCATTTATTCATTAATTATTTATTTGTTATCATTTGAATAAGTCTAAGTACTGTTAGCTATTGTTTAGGCATTATTAATGCTTAGTTGCTTAGGTGGTTATACACGTTTGAATATGGTTATAGTTTAGGAAGTTTGTGTGGCCATTATCCCATGTAAACTTGCTATATAAAGCCTAATTTATATGCAAAATATATGTGCTCTTGATCATCTTCTTTCTCGTATATATACCTAGTTCTAGAGTGTAGTCCCAGTATGTTGCTATCATTTGGTATCAGAGCCTCTGGAACTTACTTTGTGATCCAAGCATAAAGTCCACTTACAATCTCGTTATTGAATTCAATTTTTGGATAATAAAAGGCTTGATTGAGGTAATTACCAGCCACATGTAGTGGATGATGGAGTTGGTCTTCCCATTTCAAATCTATGATTTGGAATGTAACTCTGTTGTTTTCTTCTTCCATTAAATTTTTTGATTATTGCTTCTTTGGCTTTGTACATAGCTTCACACACACACATATATATCCCATTGTCAGTTTCTTTTTATTGTCAACGAGTCGAAAAAGTAGACTTCAGATAATGTCTTTAACTTGTTTTCCACCTACCTCTTTAGACCAATGAAAGGAAAGTATTGACCCGTTAACAATGAAAGCAAACCGACAATGGAATACAAATACGAAGCTATGGATTGAGCCAAATAAATTATAATAAAGGCTTTTAATTGAAGAAAATAAAACTATGAAGCTACATTCCAAATCATAGATTCAAGATGGGAAGACCAACTCCATCATCTATTACATGCGGTTGGCCATTATCTCAATCTTGCCTTTTTATGATGATCCACAAATTGAATTCAATAACGAGATCACAAGTGTACTTTATGATCACAAAGTAAATTTCTAGACGATAACGAGTAACTTCTGATTGCTGATGAGTTGTCAAAATATACAAGGGCCAAATCTCTTTTTGATATCAATTTGGAAGTTTTGACAATGAAGACAAAATCACAAGATAAATATGAGTGCGGTACTGCCACATACATGTTTTTTTATGTTATATAATGACTGCATCAACCATATATATACTTCAATCATTTTTATTTTTTCATGTGATAGATGCAGCTGGATGGTGGTGCTTGTATGGAAGCACAAC